CAAAAAATTAATTCTTTGCTTTGTATGGAATTAGAGAAGACCTCATAAAGCCAAACAAATCTTAAGCAAAAAGAACAAATTGGGAGGCGTCACTCTACCAGACTTCAAACTTTACCACAAGGGTATAGTAACTAAAACAGCATAGTATTGGCACAAGAACAGAGATATGGACCTTTGGAACAGGACTGAGAATTCACATATAAAACCATACTCATATTGTCACCTAATCTTCAACTAAGCAGAGAAAATATACATTGGGGAAAAGAATCTCTATTCAATAAACGGTGCTGGGAAAACTGGATCAGCACATGCAGAAGATTGAAACTGGATCCCCACCTCTCACCTCTCACAAAAATCAACTCATGGTGGATAATAGACTTAACCTAAGGTGTGAAAACTTATGAATTCTAGAAGAAAACGTTGGGAAAACTCTTATAGACATTGGCCTAGCCAAAGAATTTATGAAGAAAACCCCCAAAGCAATCATGGCAGCAACACACATAAACAAATGGGACCTGATCAAATTTAAAAAGCTTCTGCACAGCCAAGGATGTTATCATTAGAGCAAACAGACAACCTACAGAATGGGAGAAAATATCTGCATGCTACACATCAGATAAATGGCTGATGAGAAGAATCTACACAGAACTTAAGAAAATCAACAAGAAAAAATAAAACAACCCCATCAACAAATGGGCAAAAGATATGAACCAAAACTTTTCAAAAGAAGCCAGACTAATCACCAACAAATATATGAAAAATACTCAACATCTTTAATCATCAGGGAAATGCAAATCAAAACCACAATGAGACATCACCTATCTCCAGTTAGAATGGCCTTTATCAAAAATTCTCAAAACAACAAATGCTGGCGTGGATGAGTTTGGTACCCTCTTACACTGCTGGTAGGACTGCAAATTAGTACAAACCCCTGGAAAATATTTTCAAGATACCTCAAAGTGCTAAAAATAGAAATATCATTTGATCCAGCAACCCTACTACTAGGCATCTACCCAACTGAAGAAAAGACATTCTATAATAAAGACATCGGCACCCAAATGTTTATGGCAGCAGAATTCACAGTTGTAAAGATTTGGAAACAACCCAAGTGACCATCAATGCATGAGTGGATTAATAAAATGTGGTATATGTATACCATGGAATACTACTCAACTACAAAAAAACAATGGTGAACTATCACCTTTTATATTATCCTGGATAGAGCTTGAGTCCATCCTTCTAAGTGAGGTATCACCAGAAAGGAAAAACCAGCACCATATGTACTCACCATCAAATTGGTAGTGACAATTTGGTAGATCAACACTAATGTGCTCACATGGTAGTAATATTCATTGGGTGCTGGTCAGGTGGAGGGAATGAACTCACAGCTAATGGAGGCAGAGCATACTGTCAGGGGGAAGGGCACACTTGTAGCCCTGGCTTGGGCGAGGCAAAGGCACTACATGTAACCAAAATGTTTGCTACCTCCATAATATTCTGAAAAGAAAATAGTTGATTCTATGGGCATTTTTGTTGTTTAGATTGAGATCATGTTGTATTAATCACATACAATCTATGAATATGTTTACTTCATAATTTATTTTATCAAATCAGTATAGAACTTATTTTATCTGATAAAACTGCTTCCTTTTCAGACCATTTAATATCAAGTGAATCATCTGCTGAAGCTAAATTTCTTAGCCAGAGACCCTCTATAAAATTATACATTACAAGTAAGCATTGTAACAACACTAAACATGCTCCTGCCACAATACATTTTGCTAATTTTAAACCTTTGTTTTATTAGTGTTAATTTTCAGAGCATTAGTATTAGTAAAGTGCTGACAGGAAGTCTCTTCCAAACCAGGAGGTATCCATCATCACTATAGTAGTGTCTCCTTTGAATGCATAGTCCTTCTGAGCTGCACTCATAGTCCATTAAAAAAATATTTTGAAAAAGGTAATTCATATTTGTAAATTTCCAGAAGCAAAGCATCTTTTGGTATGCAGATCTCTAATTCTTCATGCTAATATTTCTCCTTCTCAGTATTCATGTAATATTTAAAAAACATAAACTGCTTTAAGACAATTTAATATTGCAGACATTTTCTTTTAAGAGCTGCTTTTTGCCAGCCTATTAAATACTTCCTAGATTACAGGCAGTAATTTATGTGTGCTTTGGCGATTTTCCTAAGTAAATGGAATGCTTGTGAAAGGAACTAGTAAGATAACATCTTACTAGTTACTTACTAGTTACTACAATTTCACAAAACAAGATCTAGCTCATTTTTCTTGATGTTAAAATCCTGTCTACATTCCCAGTAAGTTTTGTCTGTTCTTCTCCAAGATGACTATAGTAGAACTCCAGATTCCATGTAGAAATGACTTTTGATCTCTGATCAGGCTATTTAAAATAGCATCCTGGGGTGTCATTTTATGATATAGCTACTCACGTCTTAGGTACTGAGCCTATCAATTTGTCTTATAAGCATTTTGTGCAGTTAGAACTCCTACCAAATGATTTTTAGTGATGCATCTCAACCAGAAACTCCACTAGGCTTTAAGTAAGTATTGATGGTGGCATAGTAATAATTATCAAATGCACCAGAGGACATTCTTTCAGTGTACTATAATAAGAATTACAGACTGTTTATTTCAGTATGGGGAAAATTTGTATAATGATCCAGTTCCTGAGCTTATTTGATTTTATATAAATGAGCACTTGCATAAGAGTATTAAAATTATTTCCAAAGATCAGTTAATTCATTTATTCACTCATTCAGCAAGTACAACAGTTACTGAGCTCCTATGTGCCAGGATCTCAACCAGGTATCACAGAGAAGAATAAGGTAATTTTCTGCCCTCAAGAAGCTTATGATTAATATATACTCATGCACCGCATAACAACATTTTTGTTGGTATCATAAGATTATAATGGAGCTGAAAAACTCCTATCTGAGGTTGATGATGTAGGTGTTGTAACATTATAGCACAACACATTACCTTTTCTATGGTTAGATAAATACCCACCATTGTGTTACAATTACATAGTGTTTGGTACAGTAACATGCTGTATGGGTTTGTAGCCTAAAACAATAGGTTATACCATATAATCTGGGTGTGTAATAGGCTATACCATTTAGGTTTGTGTAAGTATATTCTATGATGTTCATACATTGACAAAATTGCCTAATGGTGCATTTTTCAGAATGTATCCCAGTCTCTGTCATTAAGTGCTGCATGGCTATCCTTAAGAAATCAACAAAGTGATTTTCATCCCCAAGCAAGGAACACTAGTGTATGTATGCAAATAGAGTACAACAATTTTCTCTGAAGACAGATTAAATTTCTGGTAAGGCTGTTTAAAACCAACATTCTGAAATCAACAATGAGGACTGTTATGTGAGGTTTCACTTACCCTTCTTTTAGAATTAAAGTAACGAAGTTCACATATGAGGTGAATTGAAATATCTTTTAATAATTATTATAAAATTATATACTTTCTACATAGATGCTGAGTTTTGAGAGTTAAAGAAAATAACTTTATGTCGGATGGTGATATGTTATAAAGGACATCTCCAATGGGCTAGTAAAGGACCCGATTTCCATAGCATTTACCACAATGGAAAACACTGGATTACTAAAGTGTCCTTTACAGTTAAGTGAAAATGCTAACTAACATTTCTGAACTGGACACTCTGCCCTTCCCTGGTCTTCAGCTCCAAGCCTATTCAAGTGGGCTGCCACCCCAGAGGGTAGAGGTCCTGGAAAGAATCCTTTGAGTCGTGAGTTCAACTCTATATGACCTGTTTGAGACTGCTAAGCGGAGCAAACTTAACAGCTGTGCAATCCAGTCCTCTCGTCTGTAGTTTCCACAGCCTCTGCCAAGTTATGGCCTGCAGAGCCATTTTAATCCTGAATTGGGCATTTATAAATATTATATTACCATGTAGGAGAGATTAGCATGATTTCTTGTACTTCAGAACCAACAACTTTATAATTCTGTTAGTTGGAAATACAGTTTAAATAAAGGATTGTATTGTGCTCTTTGACAACTTAGCAAATAAATTTCAAAAGATAATTTCCTTCTGTGTTTGCAATGTTCAATATTTTAAAGCCTGACATGTTATGAACATTTAGAAAATGGAATCTGTTGAATGACATAAATTTAAATTATAGTAAAACCGAAAAAAATTCTGAGAAAATGACAGCATTTGTTTTACTGATTAAATGTTATTTTCTGTTAACATTTTAAGATTACTATTCTCTGCTTTGGGATACTAATGATATTACATAAAAAGAACTTTTGTATAGAAGGAAGGACTACTTGGCCAAAATTTCAAAAGGCCACAAATTTACCTAGTAAGACAGGATACTGATTAACAAAGTGACAGCATTTATATATGCAGAAAACATATCGACATACAGACTGATAGTTTATGTCAAAATTTAATAAAAATAAAATTATGTATTGCACACTGTCTAAGTAAGCCTTTCAGTTTAGTAACAAATGACATTAAGAAAAGGTCATCTCTATTCATATTCATTCTGTATTTGCTTTGGGAATTGTTTTTAAAATTCTCCTAGAATAGGTATATAATTATATTTTTAAAAATGGTCTACAGAAGATGTTGCAATTCAGGATAAAATTAGCAAGGGCCATTGGAAAAAATATCTACCCTTTACCATCATTTAAAAATGAACATTGGCTTTAGAAAGACTTTGTTATAAATTTCATATTAACCACCACTATGCACTGCTCCACCTTGCCATATCCATCAATACTTAACTTGGCTCAGCACACTCTTTGCTGAAAATCATAATCACTAAACCAGCCAACAATAATTAAAATGCCCACTACTCTGGCTGATATTCACATTGCCCAAGAGAATCAATGCAAAGCCCCCAATGATTACCTTATCAAATGGGAGTTACATAAGTATGGTAAAAGTGTGCCTCATTTAATATCTTCTCTTAATGAATTCAGAATTTTAAATTACCTTGTAATCCAAGAGAGAATTCACCTGTTCTACTTCAGAATTACTTATCATATCACTTTCTTCGTCATCAATGATTTCTATTTTCTGTAACACAAGTAGAAAAGTTTCCATAAATATATATCAGATCATTATCACGATACTCAACAATATATAGAACATATGCATTCAATGTTCAGGTTACCTATTCTAAGTAATCTGGAATAAACTGACTGGCTCCTCTGTGTTACACACAGTGTGCGTCTGAGACATTTCCCTCTATCTTTAATTGATGACTATTTACTAACTAAAAAATTAATTTAGTACTATTTAAAATAGAAAATTACCTTCACAATATCCCTGAGAAAATAGGCATTCAAACTCTGCTTAAATAGTGCCTTCCAGTGATGAGGAGTTCGCTTCCTTTATTTTAATAGTAAACATATAAAATTGAGAGGAATTGCTTGCTCTATTAAGTCCCGACATGTCTCTTTATATCTTCCAATGTAAAATGTCACATATGATATGTATTCCAAAGTCAAATAATTTTTTTAAAATTCAAATATTTACTGCAGACCATTAGCTGGACAATTAAAAACAGACGTCTATGATGTAATGATGGAAATTGCATGATGATTTGTTTCTTTCACTGGTCAATAACACTGAGGATGTGAAGTGGTCTGGGAGAAAAAGGGGGAGGGAGGGAGGGAGGGGCGAGAGAGAGAGAGAGAGAGAGAGAGAGACTGACTAAACTGCCCCCAACTTCACATTAAGGTACAGCATAGTATCCTGCCCACATTAAGTACTAATTAAGTACCTGTCAAAATAAAATGAACAAAACAGGCCAGTGTTGATGAAAAGAATGAACAATAAGCTCCAACCATGGGGTAAGGCAAGTCCGCCAATCATGTCACTTTTTTTTAAAGCAAAAACAAAAGACATAAAATCAGCTATAAATTTTTCATTTGCATGTAAGAAAACACCTGTAAACATTTAAACCCTGCCAACCCCCAAAAAATTTCAAAGGGAAAAGTTAAGCTAGATTTAACCACCAGATAGTCTTTTAAGAACAAGCACACGAGCACATAAATAGCAAAGTGTCGGAGGCAGAATTTGAAATCAGGCTTCCTACCCAACAAGATATATGGTGATTAAAAGTCACAAACAAACTTAGAATGGTCACATTTGATATATTGCCCATGAGGATCCAATACTACCACAGGGTTTGTGACCTGCAGGCTTCTGAATCACAAGGACAGCTGCAATGAAATTGCTTTCTACTGCTGCCTAGAGATGAATCTAATGTTTTGTTTTCTATTATAATCACTATAATCACTGGGGCTTAGTCATGTTGGTTTTCCCTAGACCTAAGATTTGATACTTTTTTGATATTTTTTAGATTGTCTACCTATTTGGATGGGTTTTTGGAAAAGTAGCTAGGCAATTCAGAGAGGAAAGCACCAAAGGCTATTATATAGATTTGTGCATATAAATAGGTCTTATATGTCTATGATTTGTCATCCATGAATAACTGGGGGCACTCAAAAGTTACAGGCAGAGGAGATCAACCTTTGAAAGTTTAGAGTTTTGTCTTTGAAAATCAATTGTTCTTGAAAAATTAGGTGCCTAAGTGACTGTGAGTCATCCATGCCATGACTTCATTCATTATCTTCAAATGTCTGCTGCAGGGGAGATTCAATGCAGAAAAATTCAGGCTAAAAGTGAGCATGTCTTTAAAGGGAAAGAGGTTTTAATTTGTACATAATTGTATGTAATGTACACTATAACTCAAATCTATAGCAGAAAGAGATTATTAGTTGAAATTTAAGATTAGGCCAATTCATAGTTATGGACAACAATTATCACTAACTACTTGATAAAAACACCACTTTGCCTCAAAATCAAAGCTTGTTTTCCTATATGCCTATTGAACTTAGTGTCAGAAGAGTCAAACATCAACTTCAACTAGAATTGAAATCAATAAAATGCAATCCTAAACTATATTCTGCATGTGTAAAGTACTGGTATATATTGATGTTTAACAAAGAAAATAGCAAAACTGTATTTTATGTGCTCAACTTTTATTAAAGAGATGTGACAGGATAATAGTGTCAAATAAATGATGTTTGTAATGGAAGCCAGGGTATTTTGTAACAGAAAAATTCATTAGAGGGGCCATTTTTAATGGTTACAATCAGCATAGAATACAGATGCAAAAGCAAAAACAAAAGCACAATGACATCCCCCTTTATATCTGACTTTAGTTTAATATTATCTTGATTTCAGCATTATTTGATGGGGTCAGAATATAACAGATGCTGCTAAAACAGGTTAATTCACATGCAGCCTGCCTCTATTATTCAAACTCTTAATACTGTCTTTTCTCCTTTACTGTGATTTTTAAGATGACTAATACAGTCCAATTTAATTAGAAAGAAGAAAATGTTCCAAACACAGTATAGATAGGTATGGTCTAAACAGAGAACTCAAGAGTCAGAAATCTTTGGACACAACTGCCAGAACTAACAAAGGCTTCTTTCATGATCTCAGGCTAAACTCCGTTTTAATTCTGTCATCTGTCAAATAAGAAGAAATCTGCTCTTTGCTAAGTGTGTTGAAGAAAAATACCTTGTTATGTATAAAATGGCACATATATACTAAGTATTAGATTTTTATATTTGCAGTTCTCCTCAATAAAAAAAATTAGAGGTACAAATAATGGCATTTTAAATTTTATTAACTAAGCTCTAAGAGGTGTATACATTTATTGGAAAAAGCTCTGTTTTGGTTTGTGAAGTGGAGCAAAGAAAGACTTTATTCTGACAACACTGATATTGTCACCGACTGGAAACATCTTTGAAATCCATAATGTAATGAGGAAAGAATTTCAAACTGTACATACCACGTTATCTGCGGATACTGCATGGTGGTCCTCCTCCTTATGAGCCCTTGCCTCATTTGGAACAACTTCATTGGTCTCTTCTACAGAAAAAACAATCCATAATTTAATTTTTCATTCCTCAAAACTTTATTGAGAATATTTTTTTCAAGTTCACTTAATATCTCTATTGTAAAAAGATACAAAAGGCAAATTCACTTCATACATGCTTTGTTAAGCAATTCTACTTAGAACAATACATTCTAAGGAAATAAGTGTGGATGGGGACAAATACAAGGATGGTCACCACTGTGCTTTTTGTAATTGAGAAAATAGAAGAATCATATATTCTTAACAATGGAGGATTGGAGAAATTATTAGGACCTATCTCTATTATAAATACTATGAAGCAACTAAAAATGAAGTAGAAACATAATTGATAATAAGGAAAATATTCATGATCTACTGGAAAGTGAAAAATTAAAGGTGACAAAACCTACTATGTGAGTATATATAATCTTAATTTTGTAAAAGAAAAATAAATATAAATTTCATGGAGACTAAAAGACTGGCACTATTTACATCAAAACATTTTCATCATCATTTCTGGATGGAATCATAGGTGATATTTTTCCTTGTTTTTTTTTTTTCTTTTTTTTTGCTTGTTTGTATCCAAATATTTGTCTACAAAGAACATGTATTGCTCACTGGAATAAAAGTGGTAAAAATAATTTTCAAATATATGATATAAAACCATAAAAAAAAACATTTCTAATTTTTTAAAACAGCATGTGTAAAACGGCAACAACACACACACACACACACACACACACACACACACTCCTGTATATATGCAAAGAGAAAATACTGGCAAAACTATCCTCTCACTCCTATGTTCAGAAGAGTTATCACTGGGGGGGTGGAGCAAGATGGCGGACGAATAACACCGCCAGACAGAGTGTCTCTGAAGAAAAGACAGATTCTAGCAGAAATTAGAGGAAAGAGCAAAAGACGAGCATACAGCGGACAAGGGCGGAAGGAGGGTACCTGAGACCCGGGAGACTACACGGGAGGAGGGTGCAGAGGAGAACTGGAGGCTGAGACCACCGGAGCAGCCCGGAGACCAGCGCAAGGGTAGGTGGATTGCTGTTTCCCTCCCCTGCATTTGGACTGCTGGTGGGCCCCCCAGCGGGTGGAAAAGACCTTGGGACACCAGCCCAGAGACCGCCGCTGCCAGCCAGCAGTGAGCCTGTGGCAGATGCGGCACCAGGTTCCCAACTTCCTCCGGGCACCTCCGTGTGCACAGACCCAAGCCGCACGGCAGGTGCCATATTGCCTCCTCCTCCCTCCGCAGACCCTACCCGCGGCTGCCCAGAGAGACAATACAGCCACCAACGGAGGCACCTCCAGGGAACTGCACCTTCCCATTTGGGACCCACACCTGACTCAGGAAACTCAGACTGTGAGCTCCCTACCCGCCCGCCCTCCCAGGTGCTGCTGGCAAGGTGTTCCAGGAGAAAGGTGCCGACTCAGAGGCTGAGAGACATAGACCCAGCTTGGGTTCCCTGTGGGTGAATTGGGACCGGAAATGTTCTCACTGATGGGGATACAGTTTGAACTCTGGGACCCAGAGGTTGGACCTGCAGACCAGATCCCTCACCGAGGGCATATTGCCGGGGCACAGAAGGGTTATATGTGAACAGCCTATGAGGTGTGTGTGCCTCCAGGGGCAGATCGGCATCCTAGAGGGCAACCCTCCTCCCAGGAGGAGGCCATGCCCGCAACCCAGGTGGCGCTCCTGTGCAGGGAACCTCCCCGCCGGCATCACAGTCCGGGAGCCTGGTGGCTTGTGGTCTGGACTGCTGGCAGAGGCCCAGGAGTAGCTGTGGAGTTGGGGAGGGTGGAAAGAAGCGAGGCCTGCTCCAGACTGCGGGTCTCAGACAGCCCCAACCCCACACACAGACTTTCTGGCTGAGCAGGACCATTCCAGCCCCGCCCTGACAGCTTTCCCTGGAAGCAGAAGACAGAACTTTGACCCCCGATAACCGCCTGAGGGCAGGCTTACCCAACCCAGCTCCGCCCAGAGCAAGAGCTGTTAACAGGACACTAAATCAACAGTATAGCCTGTTCCTCCAAGCAAACGCCACCTACTGACAGGGACGGCATCCTGCACAGCCTTTCCATGGCACCCACTGACTCAATATATAGGGAGTGGTCCAATTTCACCCACAGACACCACCTAATGCCTCAGAAAATAAACAAGGTGTGTGAATACCCAAACAATAACTTAAGGAAAGAAATAACAACTGATCGACGTGGGAAGAAATCAGCGA